TTCGTCGATTCAATTCCCAAATGCCATTCGCTAAATCAGTTCGGTCTGTATACAAATAATCCACTGCTCCGAATCCAATTTGAAACAGTTCTTGATGACGGCGATCCTTTATGATCTGCCTCCACCATAGGCGGTTTGATATCTAATGATTTTTGGCACTTGCAGTTAACAACAACGATTAATTACGCTGATGCTATCAAAGAGTCAAATTAAATATGTTCAGTACGTTACCGCGATCATTCATAGCCGCAGCATCACAGGTAGGGAAAATGCAGTTTAACCTACTTGTCGCGATATTCAGCTATTTGTCTAATCATATTAGCAAATTTCCCCGAAATATTTGTAAAGTCTATTTTTATTGGTGCAAGTTGTTGAAGGGGATATTTAAAACATGGACGCATAAAATGTATGCATCAATTTTTGTGGAAAAACTATTTATTTGACAACAAAGAATGAGAAAACTTGTTTTCTGGGATTCAATCGAAAGTGTTGACAGGAACGAAAAAACTTTTTGTATAAGATTTTTAGGTATTTACGAGACCTACAAAATGAGATCACACGTGAGAAGACCCGAATAATAACAAAAAAGTTATTGCCGAAAACGAGGTAAAATGCAGGTTTTGGCACTTGTTGGTAATGCGATGATTATTTCACGCAACTACTTGAAATTCTTCAAATCCGCAGGATTCATACTTGTTAGCAACAAGAACAAAATTGAACTATATTGGTCAAGCAGTTTTTTGAGAATTTCTAATCGTTTATCCCAAAACACCTGTTTTTTCGGCCATCACCACTACCTTATTGCCGATATGAATCACAAACCATTCGGAAAGATAAATGTTATTTTTATGTGAAAAACAAAGGTTACGTTTTTTTCTTCTAAACATCTCGTATTTGTGAGTGATTGACCAAATGTGCTACGATATTCGAAAAACATACGATATTGTACACATTTTAAAACAAAGCGGATGTGTCTATCATCTTTTGTTGCGAATTACTCACAAATACGAGATGTTTGAATTTATTCAGAAGAAAAAACGCAACCCATCCTTGTTTACATGAAAATAACATTTATCTTCCGGAGTGGTTTGCGATTCATATCGTCAAGGTAAACTAGTGTATTTTGCTACAAAATGTACTTTGAACTAACCTTGTATATTGCTCAATAAACTAGTAGTGATGGCAGGAAAACAGGTGTTTTGGGATAAAAAAACTCTCAAAACACTGATTGACCAATATAATCCAATTTTGTCGTAATTTAGAAGTATACATATTTTGGTTTATCTTCCTTCTACAATCATTATCTGAAAATTAATGACTCAACTTCAAAGTCACCCTGTATATATATATATATATATATATAATAGTGAGGATCTAAGTGCATACGACAAGTGCGCTTGACTGAAGTTGATTTTTTGACAGTTCTGTCATTATATCCACATTTCTAGTGTCATTTTTTAAAACTGAGAAAATTATGGTATAAGACGACTTCACGACATGGTATTTCTAACATAATTTGCAAAGAGCAGAAGGTAGATGTTTCTACCCGTAAGTATTACTATTGTTCTGATATAACGCTCTCGCTTTGGTAGGCTTTGTTAGTCAAATAATGAGTCAAATGTATGCACTAAAACTACGCATTCTTGGCACCAAACAATGCAATGTAAGCATTTAGACTTGGCTCCTCTTCCTTGGTAAGTTTTTCCTGACTTAATTTGAGGTGTGATTTGAAAATAAATTGCCACTGATTCTCTTATACAAAGTGGCGTTGTTTAAATTTCAATGGACGCCGGTATGGATTTTTAGACAATCTTATTACATTAGTATTGTAAAACTATAACTATTCAAGAAATGTTGCGTCGTTTAAAGGTGCTAAGGTTACACTTGTTATAGTCGAGAAATCGAAACATTGCTCGAATATGTCTTAAATACGCGATCACAAAATGACGCAATCTTTGATCATTGGTGATGCAATCGAATCTAAACATGTAATAAGATGTCATTTTTAAGGCCAACCAGGAAATACTATATTTTTAATAACTAAAGTTTGACACTGGCAATGCATAGCATAGTATACATTTTTGAGGTCAGAATCATTGAAAATTCTGTGCACTTGTACAAACAATCTAATATAGCGACCTTAATAAAAAATAAAGTTAACTATTAAAGCTAAGAGACGAAACGCCATATTGAAGCTCTAATTATGACACCTTCTAAACTAGTGTGAATTCATGTAGAAATCGCACCTCAAAGTCAGGAAAAAATAATAACGATTTTAAGGAGTTATCTCTGGAAATACTTCGAATTGCGAAACATTCTAAATGCACAACTTTTTCCCATTAGTTGATCTAACATCTCTTGCGGTTTCTGAGATTTTATAGGCGAGTATCGGTTCGAAACACCTGGCAGAGGGCGAACCCACCAGCGATGTCAAAGAAACGCAATGGCATGAAGCGATCCAAACAGCAAATAAGACAGTTTGATATCATATTTCTTGTTCTGCAATTTATAATAAGGAATATTTTGGAATATAATGGATGTTTTCTTTATTCAGAAATTTTGGTGTCCCTCAAGGATCTATTTTGAGTCCTCTTTTATTTGCTCTTTATATATGTGATGTTCATGAAACCGCCAGCTACTCAATCGTTCATCATTACGCCGATGATACCCAACATTATAACAGCTTCGATCCAACATAAAATCAATCAAGATCTGCAGCCTATTTTTGACATATCTAAACTAAATCCAAATTCAAGATGATAATGCGCGGGGCAGGGGCAGGGGCAGGGCAGGCAGAGTTGCATTCAGGCCACCGACCGTCGCGTGTATCACTGCGTGCACGTGTTTTCGTATTCACCTTGCTTGGTTGTTTGCTGTTGTTGTTAAGTGTATTTGAGTAATTTTTTACAACATTTAAATTTTCTGACATGCAAGAGCTGTTCAGAATTGCTATACAGAGGGTCACACCAGAAAGATGGCAAAAATGTGTGCAGCATGTTCAGGAGAAAGTGGAGGTAGCAATGTGGGAGCTAGACAACATAATTGAGAGAGATTTTTTTATCCATCATCATAAATCAAATCAAATGTATTATTTTATTCTCCGCTACATTTTATATGCAACAATTATAATTCCATAGCAGACAGTTCTGACATTAATTTTGATTGTATCAGTAAGATCGTGTCGAATTTCAGGCACTATTATAATAGCTAGTTCTATTTTTTAAATTAGTTTTAGGTATACATTACATGTATGAATTATAAGTAAAGTTACCATGATATTGTCCTTTAATTGGAATAGTTCTGTTGGGCAATAATGTATAAATAAATAAATAAATAAATAAATAAATAAATAAATAAACATTAATGACGATAGCTCTTCAAGTGAGTCTGAGTAAGTTTCGCGTTTTTGCTTTGTCACGGAATACATATTATGGGAATCCTAGTTATAGTGAAATATTAACTTACAGATGAACTACAGACAATGCAAGTCCGAAGTGCACCTTCAAAATCTATTTTCAATTGACTGAACAGCCTTATATTTATTCCATGTACAAAAGTGTCATCTCTAACCCCTCGTTGACTACGGATTCATTGTGCATAGTGAGCAGCTGGTTACCTCTGGTATGTATTTCTCCATGTTGTCTAGTTTGAAAAATCTGTAGAAAAACTTAGCACCCCTTCAAGAATAAAAATTTGATTTTGCGACAGCCTTAACTATAACCACTTCACTATATTAGATAATTTCGTTAAATACCGTCATCTATGTTTTACAACACGTTGGTGCTAGTCCATCATTCGGAGGTAGCCCTGAATGCGGCCCTTTACGTCGTCCTTGCTTTTGGCAATCACGCATACATTCTATCTTGGGTGTAAATACACTACAGTGCTCACAATCTAAAACTGAATGCTGGCAAATCTTGCTGCATTTTATTTCGTGAAATAAATCAATATCGCATTATATTATGGTGAATAATGAAGACATATCCTTCGTAAACGATTGCAAAAACCTTGGTATCTGGACTGCAAGCTACGCTTCACTAAACATGTAAACCAATGCGTCCTATAATGTGCTTCGTCAGTTATACCCGAGTCGAAGTGTCCTATCAACACAGCTCAAGCTTAAACTCTGCGAATCCCTCATCCTGCCAAAATTATCTTACGCTGACTCTGTTTATGGACCTGCTCTCTTACAACGTGATGCCAAGCGGATTCAGATGATACAAAACTCATGCATCAGGTTTTCTTATGGAATCCGTAAATTTGATCATATTAGTAGCGCTTTTGACCAATCGGGATGGTTTAAGATGAACAAACTGAGGAAACTGCATTGCCTATCTCTGGTACATAAGACCCTTCTCCTTAAAGCGCCATATTATCTTTATTCAAAGCTAAAACCTCCTCTGTAAGTGGGATCAAAGATCCTCTAGGAATAAACGCATCTTACTTATCCCGCGGCATTCGACAGCATTGTTCACACGTAGCTTCTCGTACTGCGCACCCAAACTATATAACTGCTTGTCAAGTAAGTATAAAGAATATAGCCTAAGCAATTATTAAAAAAGGTTAAAGATGAGTTTAAAGCAATCGGATGGCTAGAATTTAACTTTACGCATATCCAAAGGTAATTGATTGTTTCCTTTTTCTGAGAAGTGTAATATTTTAAGCTTTTCTCTTTTTGGTGGTCAATGTTGTGAACTGTGCCATTCAAATGTAGGTATTTTTGTTCTCTTTATAGTTTGTGTCAATGTTTTTTTAGGTCGGGTTGAAAAACAGCATAAGCTGACACTCCACCTTTTCGTCACTATTCCTTTTAAGCTAACTATTTTGTAATCATGTGACGAATAAAGGCCATTTATTACTATTATCATTATCATCGCTATTATTACTATTTGTTAGTCTGATCTAGGACAAGAGGCCTTTCAAAAAAATTCGTATGATGCTTCAGTTTTCATAATGTTTACTGCCCAACTTTTTCATGATAATTATTGTATACTTTACAGCTAAAAGAGCTTACTGACACAGCTAAATTGCTGACCACCTGTCGATGTGAAAGAAGCTTAAGATCGTAAGAATTACAGTGACACCCACAGTGATTCTTACTTGATCATATCAAAATCTAAAGTGATACAACCATAAATGAGTATCTCCACATCATTTTTTATTTTTTTCTTCATAAGGAGAATGCATTAGGTGAACCGGTGGCGCCTATCGCCACATAACTTCTGAACGGTTAATTTTTTGGGTATTACGTCGCCGACAAAGTCGTAATAACCCATTACGGCAGTAACCCTTCAATATAGGACCGTTCTTGTACCCACTATTGATTGAAAACCTGGAAAGATATTTTTCCAACAGTGGTGTGCACGTCAGTGTACTAACTAGGTCAGACGCTGGCTCTGATAAAAAAAATATCAAAACCAATTGCTCAAAATTAATTTCAAGTTTATAGGAAAGCTACTTAATACGCTCTGTAGTCAAGTAGTAGTTTTCACTCAAACATTGGAACCTTAGTAGCAGGTATTTAAAGTGGCCCTTACGACATATGCAATTTTGTTTTATTTTTAATATTTATTTTATTCATTTACTACAAACGAATAGAAACCTAAGCTATAAGCTTGTGTGCGTCACATAATATACAAATTCAATGCATGGCTAATGGTCATAAAGTATATTATGAGCAAATGTATATAAAAAAGGAATAAAAACATTAGATAGAAACAAAATGACAAGGTTGAGTCAAGCTACAATCGATGTAAGCATGTCAAAGTTATTTTAGATGAATTTCTTAATTCTTTTTTTGAAACTATACTTCAAGAGGATTTTATATTCTAGGGGTAATTTATTATACAACCTTTGCTGAATTTCAAAGCTGAGAGATATAAGAAATAATTATATTCACTGTACACTGTCGAATTACAAGCCATATGCATGCTAACAGTAATTACACACACGCGGGCGCGGTAAGGATTTCCCGTAATTCTCCTGTTTTTCGTAATGTATAACTTTGAACATAACCTCTCTCAGAAAGCACAACAAAAAAATAACCCGTCGGCACAGCCAATAGATATACGTCATTGGCAGCATATTCAGTAATTATTTTCTCACACAGCAAATATCACTGATTTTATACACATGCAGACCAATACACATAATCATCCAGATGTGATCTTGCTATTTAACCAACTTTCTTCTCAGAGATAAAAACTACAGACAAGGACCATTTTGCCTCACAAAACATATGCACCAATAATGCGTTTAGTTTAGTTGAGTGATTCCTCCTGAGATGGACGTTCACAACGATCCTAGTGAGCAAACATGGAATGACTGTTTGCGCCCTAAAACTACCTAGTTTGCAAGATGACATCTTATAGGTTTTTTTGACGTTTTATAAGTTTTTTACATGATACCCATGCTGGTCTATGAAGTATCTTATCTAGATAAGGTTAGGTTGGTGCTAAACATATATACAAGATGAAAGGATGCAGTTCAAGCATATAAATCAATTTTTGAATGAGGAGCCAGAGAATAACTGTCAGGGGTAGTTACAAGAGATTTCATTGTATTGTCATTCTTAAACCGACGTTTCGAATCTAACAAATTCTAGGAACATATTTTTTTGACATCTCCAATGCTCTGTCTCTACAGAGTTGCCTGGGACATGTTGCTTACTGAGAAGACCGTGGCACAAGCTGAGGCACGTGTTGGGTTGTCACGTGCCAAAATCACGTAACTTTTTTTTTACTATTTTTATCACACATCAGCAATTTGAATTTCTATTTGTTGATTATAGATTGCCCATTCCTAGACCAAACCCTTTTTAATGATTTTATTTTGGTAAATTTCATAGCTTATTGATTGTAGAATTTCACATGTATTATATCTGTCATTCTCAGCGACTCAGTATTGTGTCGAAATCTTTTGGTCACTAATGATATAGTGTTATTAACGACTATCTGTGAAATTTCCTCACAAAATATCGTTGGACTCTCGTAGGGTTGACAACCAGCGCGCCACCTTGTGACTTTACACCTACTAGCAGTACAGAGACATTTCGTTCTATCAACATATATTCTTCAAGGCCATTTATTTAATCATCTTTTAATGTTTACTCTCCTGCCAAGATACCTTCTGTTAAAATTTGATTTACTATCAAGTTACCTTCTTTTGAAATGTGATTTACTATCAAGATACCTTCGTTTAATTGCGTACCGACGCGTATAGCGCCTTTTTGCTTTTGCTTTTCCGCTGTCATTTTGGTTGTGTGCGGACGTTTCTTCGTTAACTTACAGATTTTAGGATATTAACGCCCCAAGCACCAGTTTATGGAGTAGTACCCCTTTATCTTGTACATTACGTTTAGTCGTGTTGGTTAGGGTACTTACTACCTCGTCAATTTTGTAATGGGATTTTAACCTCCAGTTCTCTTTGTATACTATCGGACTATGTCCGTTAATGCTTGCCCTGAAGAAGTTTGTTCGATATCTGATTCCTCTTAGTGGAAAGCCATTGTGGAGAACCTCCATTCACACTCCTCCAGCTTTGTTTTGTAGCTGCCTCGTAGCTGTTTCGCAGCCAATTTTGTTGGAAGACATCTCTTCCCCTTTAGCGTGCCACAGTCACTTGGAGCATTTTTGTCCCCGACATCTTGCAGAGGGTTTGCATTCCAATAAGTTGCAAGCATATGTACCGCATATGATGCGACACATGTTGGTAAACGTACCTTAACAATGCCTTAGTCACACCACTGTTCAATGGAGAGAAAAAATCGTTTGAAAGCATATCGGCGAGAGAGGAGAAAAGGGGGTAAGGGGTGTAAAGGGGTGCGACATAAGCCCCCTAACGAGCCGTGAAAATGAACGCGACGTGACTGAGCCTAGAGACTGGCTTTTTAGATTGGATGGAGCCGAGAGCTGAACACCGGCTCATTTTTTAGTCGACAAGAAGCAGCCGTTTTGGCAAGCAATTTACCCTGAAATATTGTTCTCGTATGTGCAACTTGCTAAATCGCGATAGCATATTTCGCCGCAAATATGCAGCTACGTTCAGGTGCAGAGGTTGCTCCCAGTTACATTACTTTTCCTTCTCACTGAGGGAAGATCATACAGCTCGAGACAGTTGCATCGTGCACTTTAAATTATCATTTAAATTTCGAATCACATTACAAGAAGATGTATGCGTACCAGTGTGCGGGTTTATTTAAAGGTGCACACTCACAGAGGGGTACGGAAGCAGAAAAAGGGAATCGAAAGCCTTTCGCTAAGTTGCGTGATCAAATGAAAGCCCGCATACTAGCGGGAAACGTAGGGAAGCAACATGCCACATTTGATACGTACAAATGACACATTTCGTCACAGATCCGTTCGTGTCGCCTTTCCTCAATGTGAGCGCACATTTATAGTGTATCAAGATATACGCAAAGAACGAAATGAAAACACGTTTTTCTTCTTCAGATACTAATATTTCAATAAAATCATAAATTATGTTTAGAAGTAGTTCTAGTCCAAAGCCTCATATACTTAGTTAAAGTACAATAAGCGTCTATTTTCCAATGATTGATACACCGTTGTGAAGCTCAAACTTCGGCCCCTCTTTATACCTGATCGCTATTCCGTCCAATGCATTTTTGTAGAGGCTGTCGCGACTTTTGTTGGCCCATGTCATATCAGCTCGCCGCCAGATCCTTGAGGAAGCATAACAACTCACCTTCCACATCCTCGTCAAAACTGAATCGTCTTGTCAAATGCTTGAACTAACAACATGTCGGCGAACTCTTGATTCGAAAACATAGTAAATAAACATGACGACGTACGCGAACAAAACAAAACAACACGCCCGATGCTCTGCTCGATAAAACGATAAAGTAATTTATCTATGCAAACCGATAACTAACCACTGTTAACGTTTGCGATCGATTGCCGGTTCGATAAGAGTGCTGAAGGACCGACGCGCTGTTGTCATGTGTGTTTTAAATATTTAATTTAATGAAACTTACTTACTTACTGACTACAAATTCTGGCTTAACTTAGAAAAACTCAATGTCATTTATTTGTTAATTACCTTTAAAAACGTTTTACTTTTTGACACCTCCAAAACAACGGGACCACGAAGCCTAAATAACAAAGTACCACGACATGTATAACAAAGATAAAGGGATCTTGTTAATACGAGTTTTGACTAGCTAACTAGGCCCACTTGGGAGATCATATTTTGAATAGGTACAGTGAGAAGGAGGGTACTATCTCACCATCCAGCTCTCAACGTTTAGAGCGAGACCAAATTAGATTGAGACGTAGGAGCTTAACGTGTTTGTCTAGCAGGCTTAGAATGCAGCGATAATGCAAAGACACTAAAACCAATAGAATACAGGTAGAGAAAAAGGTGCATTGCCCACTGCCAGTAGTGTTCCTATTTTAGACGGGTACAAACTCAACTGAGGTAATGTTGTGAGACCTGAATAAAATAAGCCGTTATCAATATATTCCCCTCCATTGACGCAAATTATTGTAATACAAAAATTAACTTTTGAGTTGGTCACCCATCCCTCAACATGCCATCCGCCCATATTACGACGTACACTTTTGTCAACCCTTGCTTGATGCTCGGACTTTCCAAATTAAATTCATGTTTATGTCTTCCATTTCGTTGCACGCTCTAACAGAATCTGTGCATTGCATTTTACATAACCCGCTGAAAACCTAGCAGGTTCAATTTTGCTTACCTCACAAAGCTTATTTTCATCAGATTGGCGATATTCCTTGGAGCTCTTAATGCAATTTTGATCTTGAAGTACCTTTACAGGAAACATCTACGCGATCAATGCTGATAATGAGCTTGGTCCATAGTGATTCTTCTACTGTGGCAAGTGGCGCCATCTTGCTCGAACTACGTCCTCTAACTGTACGGAGAATATTTTCTGAACTGGTTTGCCTGAATGCGCCACTTATCGCCTCTACTGTTTGTTTTGGTGATATTCTCTATCTTTGTATTAACTCATGGGCTTTAAGGACCACGGCAGGTAGCTATAGCTGGCTTCCGTGGCGATGTTGGTTGATACCTCCTATACACGACA